GGGAAGGAGCGGGAGGGTGCGGGAAGGTGCGGGAGGGTACAGGAGGGTGCAGGTCTCCAAAAATGGACCTGTGCAGGACGACACGACACTAGGCCCACTTTAATATAAAACACAGCTGTATTTCATTTATATAGTAGGGGTCCCTGCTCCAGCTCTCCATCAGTTTAGGAGTCTGTGGCCTGAAAAACCTTGAAGACCCCTGTGTTGTAACATTACTCCGTCAACAAAATAACATGTCTGAAGAGGTTATGCATGTTTGAATAATTTAGTGATCTCACCCATGCTACCACACAACAATTCTCCATAAATATACAAAAAATGATACAAAACTGTACGCTACAACTTCACAAATCTGATGTGATGCGCTGTGGTTTCATTCATGGAAATAGACATTGATTGTGTTGTGATGGCACTCCGAAGGGGGACTTAACACGGAGAGCAAAAGAAGGGGGTACTCAGAAAACATACAAAACATCTTGGCCGGATTTTCAAAACAGTAAAAGAGAACACGATGATCGAAATATGATATGTGAAACAGTTAATACCCCTTTAAAATAAAACACCCCGTTTAACCTTACTGACCTTATCTGATCTCGTTTCATTTCTCGCGCTCACTGTTATTCCTTTGTCTTTAACTGTGTATCCATTTTGTGATAACGCGACACGACTCCGGCACTTAATTTCCCCATCTCCTCTTGTGGCTGGTCTCATTTTAGCTCATTGTGCGTAATGGCTAATGCAGGGTCCGCTAATGACCGCTGATATCGGTGTGGAGGCGCAGGATGGATGGGGCAGTCTAATCGCCGGCTCTGACTGATACGTGCCCGTGCGGACCCCCCGTTTGTGTGATTGGGTCGGGGCTGTAATGAGGGGATCACCTCGGAGGAGACGTAAAGAGGAGAAGAGGGGGGAAAAGGAGGAGGGAGAGGCGTTTAATCTCAGGACTAATGGCACTGCGGGCTACATGAGGGATCAATTAGAGAGGAGGGCTAACCTGACAAAGACTCAAGAGCTGGGAATGAAGAAGAAGAGGAGGTTTGTTTTAAAGGTTTGATACAGCACGCATCAGTGGTGGAACGTAACGCAGTAAAAGAAGTAAAGTGTATACATTTTAGGTACCTGTACTTTACGTTGGTACTTTTTACCTTTATTAAATTTGAGAGCATGTGTCTGTACTTTCTTCTCCACTCCATCTTTGAACAGGATTGAAAAGTAAAAGTATTTTTTTTTATTACAGTTTGAGAGCTGCTGAAAATATATGATGGGGTATATATATATATATATATATATATATATATATATATATATATATATATATATATATATATATATATATATACACACACACACATATATATTATATTATTATTATTATTATTATTATTGCAATTTATTATTATTTTTATTTTTTTCTGGAGACAGTGAAGGATGGTTTATGTGCACGAAAAAATAATTAGAATTGAATTTTAATTTTGCTTTTGCTCATATATATTTATTGACTCACTTTTTTATTTCCTTGTTTTCTCTATATTTATGTCTTTTCTTATTTATTTACTTATTACTTCACTTATTACTTTATTATTATTATTATTATTATTTATTTATTTATTTTTATTGTTTTTTCATGTCTGGACACAATGGGGGAGGGTAATGGGAGGAGGATTTGGGAGGGTCACATTGTATTATTTATTTATTATTATTGTTTTTCTCTGTGACATCTGCTTTATGTGTACAAAAAAGTAATTAGAACAAAAAACAGTGAGAGATAAAGCTGCTGAAAAGGGTTTACTTTTGCGTTTGGTATCTGTACTTCATTTAGTACTTCTTCCACCATTGGCAAGCATTTTAAACTTCCAATTGAGTCTCGGTATTTATTTGTACAATGTGGAATATTCTAGGTATATGAAAAACGGATAACATTATTTAACACTCACAAAAGAAAATTGAATTATTTCAGATTACAGTTCACACCTTAGAGTAATTTAATAACAGACACTCCTCACTGTAAACAACTAGTGTGTTTACAGCATTATTGTGGCTTTTATTCTCTTCTAAACATGCTTTCCTCCCCTGATAAGTATTTGAAAACACTTTTTAAAAAACACCTCTGTTTCAAGTGGGGCATTTAGGTCTTAGAGCTCCCTCTGCAAACATAAAAGCATAATTCGCGGAAGTTATGGAAGACATTTTCATTTTCTAAACATAAACAGCTCCCCCTGCTGTTAAAAATGGGAATGAACAATGAGAAAATAAACAAATGAGATCCTTAACCCCAGTGCAATGCTGTGTAAATAGAACTATGTGTAGAATGATGATTTATGATCTTAGGCTATATTTATATGATGAACAAAAGATGCACAAGTGGCGTCGCATCTTCACTTTATATTCCACATCTAGACAATAGTTTTTGGGAGGAAATCTGCTTTCATACAGTGAAGCAAAAGTGTAGAATAAAATTAAAGGAACAAGGGCGTCTTTGGACATATGGAAGTTTTCACGTCACGCATTTTCAGCAGCTACTTCTTCCACAAAGTTGTTCCACCATCGACTGGTTCTCCAAGGTCTTGTCCATAGTTGTCTGACTCACCTGCGACGAACTGGTGCATCCAGAATTTGACAGAGGTGATTGCAGAGCCTTCTCTGTTCACTAAGGCTACGTTCAGACTGCAGGGCTTAACGCTTAATTCCAATTTTTTTGTGAAATCCAATGTTTTTGTGAAGTCGTTCACATTTCCAATTAAATGCAACTTGTATGTGATCCCCTGTATGAACGTTAAATGGCCCGAAAATGTCCCGCATGTGCACTGGAGACACGATGACGTCAACCGCAGCGAGCATGCTCTGTGTTTACGGAAGTTGTCCAAACATGGATGTGAGCATTGAGCACCTGACGATTTTAAAGTTCCTCTCGTACCACAGCCAGAACATGAACAACTTACTTGTTTTAAGGAGGAGATTGAGAAGGAGAAGGACGAGGTTTTTGGCCGTGGTGTTTCATGGGACAGCGGCAGCGACGTCCGTTGAAAAGAACATGTGGATGTGGATGTGGAGACGGAGCCAAGAGTGGTGAGTGGTGATGTGTTTCACTTCAGTGACACAGAGTTCATTAACAATTTTCGCCTACTTCAGCGCAGAATAGTGACGTTTGTGTCTTGTTGATAACGTGTAGGTGGATGAATGCACTTTGGCCGTTCACACTGAAGTCACATGTCAAAAAATCTGATATGTATCGGTTTAAGGAGCACATATCCAAGTGTCCTGGGTCACATTTGAAAAAATCGGATCTGTGTCGTTCAGACTGTTATTAACCCTCTCCAGGCAGGCGTTGCAGATTTGCAACAGCTAAATTCCAATTACCTACTTACTCTAAATCCATATTTTATGAGCTTTTTTTACTCAGGAGCCATTTCTCCCATCCATGCTGATAAATGTGGACGATGCAGACTGTGCAAGAATGACTACACGCAAACGGCCTGCCAGAAGTGCAAAATACTTATTTTGTTTACAAAGGATAAAAAAGTCAGGATTGTATATTACTACCCCATATGATAATTTTCCCCTAATATCAGATTTTTCCTGATACTAAAAATTAATTTGAGCCTGAGAGGGTTAAAAGATCAGATACAGGTCACATAGAGGCCAAAACATCGGATTTGGGTCACTTCAGGCTGCAGTCTGAACGCAGCCTATTAGTATGTCTGCAGATTCTGTACATTTGTTGGGAGTCTCCTGTAAGTTTATTAGAGCTGCAGCTTGAAGGTCCGATGAATGGAAATGATCTGACATGTTTGTTTCTGTGTACTGTATGTATGTGATGTAAAAGCGACCTGAGCAGATCTGACCAGAGTTTTGTATCTTGGGCAGTGTAGATGGAAACACTACAGTGGAGTGTATTCAACTTTTCCACTCTGGAGGGTGGTTTCAGATTTTTGCGTTTTTAAGCCTCAAACACATCGTCACCATCTAAACCAGGGCTGTTCAAACTTTTTTCATCAAGGGCCACATATCTAAACACAGATGAAGCAGAGGGCCGATCAAGGGCCATAGACTGGTGCTCAATACAGTGAATAATAGAAACGTGTGCATGTTTAACACATTAGAATCAGCCATCAGTTTTTATTCATGCTAAGATACTTAAATATTGGCTTTATTAAGGAAAATGTTTTAAAACTTGCAATAAAAAGTAAATTTTTAATTGATGCAAGGTGTGGGTTTATTTTCTTTCATTGATGCTTCACTGTTATTTGAATCATATCAAAATGTTTCTTGTTATGTTTTCTTTTGGTCCAATCAAGGTCCAAAGGGGGGCATATGTGAACCTGGTAGCCTGATCAATATGTCCACAAAATATCCTGCAAAAACAAGTTTATCAATATGTAAGTAGACTTTCTTGCTAAAATGAGCTAATCAATAAGTTAATATTTCAACAAGATGTCATGTATAAGAGCTGTCTACTCTGCTGTTATTCAGAGATGCTGTTGACTGGATCCTGTAATCATTTGAATCAAGTTCTGGAAACTGCTTGGGCTAAAATAAAGAGATTGTAGATTTTTCCATCTCCTGATTTTTTTTCTTTTTGAGTTACTTGCGAGTTACCTCTGGGAAAGCTAACAAAGGTGATTTGGGCCAATTCTCCTGGACGTCTGAGGGCCAATAAAAATTTGTCTGAGGGCCGCATTTGGCCCATGGGTCATAGTTTGGACATGCCTCGTCTAAACAAAAGGCACTTCCGATAAAATATTTTGTCCTTTTTTTCCACAAGCATTCTCGTGTAAACAGCCCTTTAAAAACTGTAGGAGAAGCCTGTAGTTTTACCAGTGACACAACTAAACTGGCAAAATGCAAACAGAACATTTTTGACTTCTCAGAGACTAAACCCTGTCAGGACTGAAGAAACATATTAACACGAAAGTAATCTCCATGGATACAAGCTGGTGGCCGACGCGCCATAAGAACAGTTACACAGTGCACTTTAAATGCATTATCATGTGCAGACTTACGCCTCCGTCTTGTTGGACTGTCTCCTGCAGGGGACAGTGTTGCTCACACACGTCCCGGTGGCGGGGTCCACGGCCTCCACGATCACAAAGGGCCTCTCCTCCAGCGTGGCCACGGTCAGGTGTCTGTAGTCGGACACGGGCTGCAGGTACGAGCCAAACCGAGGCCACACCGGGTACCTCACCTGCAGGATGCCCATCTCATACGTGCCCACCTGAGGAACGACAAAGCAGAGAGGGGAGAGGGTTAGAGAGGACAGAACCATACCATAACATCAGCATTTAAATATCTGGATTAAACACAGAAGGGAACCTGGACTATATCAGAACTAAACCAGGACTAGAACAGGTCCAAATCAAATCTATATCGGAACTAAACTGAGTCAAAAGTCAGACAGCACCATGGAAGAAGTAAGAGCACGTTGACAATCTGTGTATCATTCATTTGTTTTTCAATATAAAACCAAAAATAAGAAAACAAAAAAACAAGTATTTTCTTCATTATTTGTAACCAAAGCCAAAATTAAAGAAACAGATAATGATTCATTTTTTCAGTTTTCGATTTTGTGTTTAAATGAATAATGGAAAAAAGGGATAATAACCGTTTCCTGTTTAAATGACATAAACTGCGATGCCGAACTTTTGCATCACATACGGACTGAATTAGGACTAAACAAGGACTAAACCAGGTCCGGGAATAGACTGGAACCAGACCGGGACTGAGACCAGGACCAGACCAGGACTGAGACCAGGAATGAGACCAGGACTGAGACTGGGACCAGACCAGACTGAAACTGGTTTAATCCTGGTTCAGTCCTGGTTCAGTCCTGGTTCAGTCCTGGTTCAGTCCTGGTTCAGTCCTTATGCATTGCAAAAGTCCGGCATCGCAGTTTAAGTTACAGAAATGGAAAAGGTCGTTATCCGTTTTTTCCATTATTCATTTAAACACAAAATCGAAAACTGAAAATAGTTGTTTTATAATTTTCTTATTTTTGATTTTATATTGAAAAATGAATTGAACGAATAATACATGGATTGTTGACACATACTCACTACAACAAAACTGAGAATTCTGAGGAGGATTAAAAACACAACTGAGCCTAGACTAGATGAGGACTACATCAGGACTAAACTGGGATCAAACAGGACCAAGAGTCACTTTTGAACAAGAAATTGCTTTTAAATCAGGAATCTCAAACTTGCCAAATGCGGTCCCCGAGATAATTTCTTCTGGCCTACGAAGCATTTTCTAATTTCTATTAATAGTGTCCCGGAGATAAACTGCATAAGACAATTTGAACTACAGCCCATGAAATAGATACTACATAAATAATATGTTATACAATATGCCCCACGGCCAACACTGATTTTGTAACTTGGGCCCATCCTCTAATCGGTTTGAGAGTTTGAGACAGCTGTTTTAAAGGATAGATCCTCATGGCAACACATAAGGACAGAATAGTTAACAAGAAAAGTGACTTCATCAATACCTAAACAAATTAAGATGACATGAATTAACAACATTTTATTATGAATTGAGTACATTTCACTGGACAAGTAAAATGATCTTAGCCTGATTAATCAGCTGGTTTCACTTTGTGGAAACTGTCTGATCTCGCAGCATTAGGATTTGTTCACTCAATGATAAGCAGGTACTTTTTTTTATTTAACCAATCTCTGCTATTTGGTTGTGACGTATGTAATCCACCAAATCCCGTAGGAAGAAGGGCAATAACTTCTTTCCCCTTGATAAAATTCACCAAACATTCTCTTTGTTCCGGCTTTAAATCCTCGATCTCAGGAATCGTTGCCAACACAGAATGTCTGTCTTTGTCTACATCCATCTCGACCGCTTTGTTTACTGTTGTGCTGTAGCCTGGCTAAAATTATCTGCCAATGGAACAAGACTTTTTGAAGTTAAAATATAAAAATATATCTTACTACAGATATGAAAAACAACAACTCTTTGCACTTAAAATAAGAAATCAAAATTAATGTTACATGAATTTAAAAAAAAAAACAACTTTCATTCCACTGGCAGATCATTTTCATATCTATATCAAGTTTAATCTACTCAAATAAAGTCAAATGTTCTTAACTTAAAGGTGCATTGTGTAACTTTTCTTGTGGAGGGTTCGTCAGATGTTTTCCTCCATGGAGATGTTTTTGCTTTGTCTGGATTGTTCCACAGTATGGTATGAGACCAGACCAAGTTACAGGGGTCAGATCTGTGAGAACAGTGAGAATTCCTGTATTTCGAGGTATTTTGAGCTATAAAACCACCTGGAATTGAATAAATGTAAGATAGAGCTCTTTAAAGTCATATTGTGGAACATTGGAAGCAGGGTATTCGACATGGGAATCAGCTGGAGTCCCCCTGGTTGGAAGGTCCCCAAGCTGGAAAGTCCCATTGAATTGTAACCTTTATGAAAGTTAATCTATGCACATATAAATAAAAATATAAAACATACATATTTTTTCATTTTATATATGTGTTTGTGTGTATTAATTACACAAGCAAGTTACAGAATATCTCAACGTATTTGTTCATACTTTCAAATAAAACATGCAAAAATGATGTGGTCTCAAACACACACAAATAGCGTCAATAGTGTGTCAAACCGAACCTTCTGTATTCTCAATAAATGTGCCACAACTATTTCAGGATTTTTTTCTTACATATTTCAATGAAAGACATAGTTAAGATCTTCCTAAAAATGATTCTGAATGTTTTTGAATGATTTCTGTAGCTTATTAAGTTTCTTGTGTTGCGCTAGCAGCAGGTAAGGACATAATTCAGATTTCTTCCCAAATCAATAGTTACAGATGGGGGGAACAAGAAAAAATGATTTTAAATACAATTTCATAGTAAACTTCTACGAGCAAGTGAGGATTATATTGAGATTACATACTGAAAAAATGTGTGCTGCTTCAGCAAGATCGGAAAAATGGCAAACAAGGCCCGACATCTGGTCTCGCTACATTCACATTTCATTTTATTTTCATATAGAATGCAGATTTTCTCTCTCAATACATCACAGGCCGAGAGAAAGGGACACTCGAGCTGGGACATTCAAGCCAGGGGGACGCTCGAACTCAATGAAACAAGAAGGTGACAGACTGTTACAGCTTGCGGCCTGGCTCCGCCTCGCCCGGCGCTCCTTGTTTGTTTTACCGCGTGTGCCTTCCATATTTACATGTCCTGTGTGGTACCTGGCGCCTGATTGGTGGGGTGTGGTCCCATTGCTGTTGAGCAGGTTCCAATGTTCATCATGACTGGTTGGAGGATTGACATCCCGCTCCTCCAACCCCCTTCCTGCACATCCCATCACCTCATCCAATAAAAGTGCTGTGCGCCTGTTCCTCCAGGCAGCTGGATGTCAGTTTCAGTTCACCACCGTCACTGATAGATGTGTGTTTGTCACATCCCTTTTGCTACTGAGCATTTTGAGACTCTAGGGTCGCTATTGACCGATCATTTGTTTGTATTTGCCAGTTTGGCTCAGCCCTTGGGCATTTGTATTTTCTTTGAGTTATTTAACCCAATAGAGGTATTGTTTAGTTCAGGGGCACTCAATACGTCAATCGCAATCTACCAGTCGATCGCCAAGGTTGTGTGGGTAGATCGTGTGTCTCATCTCGGACTCGCGTTTGGACTGGTAATAAACTTGTACAGGTGTGCAGGAGCGTGTGGGGCGTCTCAGTGCGGCCTGTGCGCTCATTTGAAACCTGCGGAGACTCTACGGCACATCACAAACACACACGCTCCCCTATGCACGGCTCGTCTGCAACAGCGTGTGCCCTCGTGTACCAGCGTGTATCACAGGACAGGTTCAACTTCCTAAACATCCTACCTGTCCATCTGCCTCACGTCAGCACGCCGCCCCTCGCCTTTTCACGCTCTCGCTCCTTCCTGCGTACAGCGAACACAAGCCCCTCCCACAGTGCGGCTGATTAGAAGAGCAAGACCAAACGTGAAGCAAAAACCAGTCTAAATTTGTGTTCCAGTGTTGGCACAAAGCAGGTCTACAGCATAGAGCGGATCTACAGAACAGACCTACTGCCACATTTGACTGAAGTTTGTCTAACAAAAGTGCACAAATGCATCTGTGTTTGTCACGATGTGCGTTTGGTTTGATAAATGTGCAGAGGCTGGTAAATATCACTGCAAAACCAGAAAAGAATGTAACTCCAGTTTGGAATTTTAAAAAACAGGTTTAAAAATCTTTTTCACTTTTTTCACAGTTTTGTGTAAAGTGCCAGAGGAAGTTCTCTTAAAGAAGGGGTTCTCAAACTGTGGGTGAGGGTCCAAAAAAGGGGCACAGAGTGTTTCAGTGTAGTTTGATTGGCTTTTTATTAGGTAGATCTTTTTGACTTGGTCATTTTGGTCAAATTTTGATTTATCGTATGTAAAACTGTTTTGTTTTTTTGTTATTATACTTACTTACATTTACTTTACAAAAGCCACTTACCTTACATCACATCTTGTTTGTGTTACTTTCCTTTGTCCCTAGTACTGGTTCGTAACACAGACCCCTAATCAAAAAGTTACAGTGCACTTTTAAGTCATTTTAACTTACCTGGATATAGTTTTTTGCAGTGAATATAGAATTATGAAGTTACAAAAGTAAAAGCACTACTTTGTCCCCATCTACCTGGTCTGAAAACAAATATATTTTGAATATACCGGATTTGTGCTTCATTTTGTTCTGTTTACAAAAATGAAACCACACAAAAACTGTGGGTTTTACGACCAAACTGCTCCTCCATACTCAAACCGCAGTAGCCCATTTTCCCAACTCCAACACAATGAATTTTCGGTCACAGGATTGTTTACTTTGCCCCTGATATATTCCACCTCTGAAATGCTCCAAAATTCACAGTTTACCAGCTCTTTTTTTTAATGGATTTAGTCATAACAATAATCTACCTGAAGAACAACCAGAGTCCCCCTCTCTCTGCTCCTCCCCTGAGACACTTCCGCCTCAGGACATCGGAAACCTGCGTAACTCTTCCATAAATGACACATAAATCTTGGTCGTCTCTCTCCCGCTGTTGGCTGTGTACCAGAGCTTCTCCTTTAGCTCGCATCAGTCTGAAGTGTGGCCTGAATAAACAAACAGCCCCAGGATCACAGGGGGAACGCAGCAACCGCTCATTTACATAACAGTCTGGTCAAAGCATAGGCTCCCATTCATCTGGATTTCACTGTGCA